GTGAGGTTAGCAAATTAGTAGAGCCAAGCAAAAACCGGCTAAAAGGTGTGTTTTGTAATTTCTTTCGGAAGTATGAACCCTTCACTAATTTTTAACCAACACAAACCTCCAATTACCTTAAAGAATGCGAACTTTTCATAGGTCTAACTCCTTCCTTACATAGTAAGCACTCCCAAGCACACAGCAGGTTTTGGCCCCAAATGGCTTTTCCTCCGTTCATGTACACCAGAGAACAGGCTATCTGGACAGCTCCAGCCAAAAGAGGCAACAAAGCTTGCAGCACGTCTCTTAGACTCCGATCTTATTTGATAGATTCATTTGATGGATTTATTCGATAGGTTTTGTCTTTGATGATTTTAGCAAAATCCTATGACTCCAAACAGCAATTGTTATCTTTTCCCCACAAGCTGCACTATGATGCATAGAAAACCTAAAAATTAACTTCTTCCCTTGTTATGTTGAAGAAAATTAGATTTTAAAATATATCTCGTATATGTAATAAAATCAAGCCCTTGGGGGTCATCCAGTCCAGGAATGGGAAAGACTGAGCACTTAAAGTGGCCACTCCCGCGGTGAATGTGGGTAAATCAATCTTGGCAACCTTTTCCAAGAATGTCCACAGCCTTCCCTGCTCCCTCAGACAAGCACGGTGTTTTTCGTGGTCACGGGGAACATTCGCTGGTACTGGCTGTGCAAGGAGGTGGCCAACAACTTCTGCTGAAAATCCCTCCTCTGTGCTTGAAAAGGACGTCTTTCTGTCTTCTCAAGGTCCTTCCAACCTCAAGAAGGACCTCTGGGGACAGATCTCGTCATTTGCCACAGTCTCCGCGGAGGTGGGTGGGCTGTGGTCTGACTCAACAACGTATTTCCTATGTTGTCAATTAACCAAAAAGATAGGAAAAACCGGTAGAGGCACAACCGAAGTACCTGTGAACGTGCCGGCGTGAGAGCAGCGGTGCACGGAGAGAGGTTTTCAGAAACTCAGGCTGTTGCACAGTATCACTAGTTATCAGAGAAACGGAATCAAAGCTGCGATGAGGTACCACCTCCCAGTCAGAACGGCAACCATCACAAAGTCCACAGACGATGAATGCTGGCCAGGGTGCGGAGAAAAGGGAGCCCTCCTACACTGCTGCTGCAGCCGTTACGCAAAACAGGATGGAGAGTCCTCAAAAAACTAAAACCAGACTTCCCCTATGACCCAGCAGTCCCACTCCTGGGCATTTATCTGGAGGGAACTCTAATTCAAAAAGACACATGCACCCAATGTTCACAGCAGCACGGTTTACAACAGCCGAGACATGGAAGCAGCCTACGTGTCCATCAACAGATGAACGGATAAAGAAGTTGTAAGAGATACACACACACACCCACATGCTAATACATATATTACATATAAATACATATTTATACAAGTATATTTATAAGTATGTATTATATTATATATAGTATATATAGTGTATATATTATATATATAATATAAGTATATAAATAATATACATTTATAAGTATATTTATAAATATATATACATTTGTTTTTAAAAGAAAGAAATCCAGGTATTGACCACGCAGGCACAATCCAGGATGACGACGGGGACACATCAAAACGCCCTGGCTTTAGACATCTGAATGGTGTCATTCATTCCCACTGTTCCGAGGCCACCTTCACCAAGCAAGCTTCTGACAAACTTGCCTCCCTACAGGGAGAGACTGGATGGAAGGATCCAGCCCCCTAGTCAGCTACTTAGTTCCCATTATACATGAATAGGATGACATTTAATCTCAATGAACTTTCAGAGTAACTCAGCATCTTCAAATCCAATCAAGATTGAGTTTCTGCTTAAATAAACCTAACATGAATTTATCAAGGGACAAAAGGCTCCCGTTGGCAACAGGAAATTGGGTCTCCCTAACAAAATTTTACTTCAAACCTTTACAGGACATTTATGATGAGCAGCACAGAGGAAACTGTAAAAACTGTAAACGGCACTGATTTTCCCAGTAGCCTAGACGCATACTCTTTGCTGTTCTTTTCATAATGAAAATTTCTCCAAAATTCAGGTGTTAAAAGTACATATTCACTTAATAGTTTCTTCAGTTATACTCATTTCCCATGGCTTTAATTTTCCTCCAAGCTAGAAATAAGATCACAGAGCTCAGCATATTGAAAAGGCATGCAAACATTAACCAAGATTGTCAAGATCACAATTTTAAGGAATAAACAATCTGAAAAATAATAGAAGGAAACAACCAAAGGGTTAACAGCTATGGAGTGTGGGATTAGAGAAGCCCTGAATTCTTCACATTTTGTGTATTTTCTGAATTTTCTAGAATGAGCATTGTTCTATTCAAGCTTCTTTACTTGCAAGAAACAAATACCCATTCAGCTGCCTGAAGAAAAACAGGATTTATTGAAAGACATTCAAGGAGCTGCCAGAGAAATCTCACGGAAAACCACAGCTGAGCTGAGTCCTACACAGCCTGGAGCTACGGGTGAACCTGGCATCGATCCCAGGACCCCAAAGACAGCACACATGGAGCTGCCCTGTCCACACACATCACTCTGTCACACGTGCTGCTCGGCCCCGGTCCATGTGGGTCTCTCCACTCTCATCAGCCGCCATGAACATCCTTCTCTGCTTCCACCTTAAACTCCAAATTTCCTTCATTTTAAGCATAAGGCTGTGGTCGAGGTACAAGAAGGTGAGGAAAACAGAGAACTTTTGCTTAAGGACTGAACTGTACTTGTTTAGATAACCGATTGAATATACACAGATGGTTTTTAGAAAGAGCCAACAGTCTAGAGAAGGTATATAAAAAGGGAAAGTCTCCCTCCTCTTCCCTGGCACTTTTTTGAAGGGTGGTGGGGAAAGGGGAGGGAGTAATCTACTAAAGGAAAACTGACATTTATGTTTCTAAAAATCATAAAAATACTACTTAACAAAGCACAACATCTGTAAAATATTTCCTCACTGTATTATATGAACAATTATTGTGTAACAACTGAAAATGACATAATCAAAACAAAATTATCTGATACCATATCATGTATAAATAATAAGAAACATTACAAAACTGATTGGTTCTATTTTAAACAGATATTTTTTCTGAACTTGACTGTCCACAAAGCAGATAAATTTATATTGGCAACCTATTCATAAATTATTTGAAGTGCTTCATCATGGTAGAAATATTTTAATTTCTAATACACTTTTCATTTGTCATGCTCAGGTTAAGTTGGCAAAAATGAAAATAACTGAGATATTCCCAAAAACTAAAAATTCCAAATATACGTCAGGCAGTGCTGTTTAAGATCTTAATCACTGAGCACCTGCAAACTATCCTCGAATGTCTACTTGATACGGATAGCTATCTCAGACGCTGGCTTCAAATCTTTGTAATTTCATAAATTTTCCTCAGAGAGGCCCTGAAATAAACAAAGAGGGGTTTCTCTTTGAAGGCAGGGTGCCTTTACTGGCTGTATTCTTCCTTCATCCCCGCGCCACCTGAGACACTTCACAGGGCAGTGCAGCCAGCGTGCAGCAGGCAAACCGTCTACATCGAGGGGTCCTGGTGAACGTGTTCATTCACCCTGCAGGATGACGCCGCCGTAAATCTTTCAAATCCGTCCCTTAAAGTGTGCTTCAGGAACATGTTTGAGAGCCCCATTTTCCCACACCCCTTCAACAGAGAGAACTATTTTTAAGAGTTTAATAAAGAATTTGGTGTATATTTTTCCAATTAAAACAATTCTCCACTAACTAAATAAGGATTATATTAATAGGCTGTCCTCCAAATCCCTTCTTTCACATAATAAATATATCTTGGACATCTTGACGTGTCACATTTATGTAAATATGGAGATTTTCACAATCTAAATGATAATTTCTAAAGACTTACATTTTCTATAAACAGAGAAAACAAAGTTTTTTAAAAAGTAATGAATAACAAGTGATTCAGTTTTGCTATTTTTGTTATTTTGAATATTTTAAATTGGTTTTGGAATTATTAATATTGTATGACAGACACCTTTCTGGGAAATACCCTTGGTTGGGGTTGAAAATTAATTGATGGATTTCTAAATTGGTTAATTAGTTTAATTACAGTTTTCATATTTTAGAAATATTTAGTAACTCTTAAAAGCAATTTTGAATTTTTCACATATTTCATACCAGTCAAGTAGATGTATATGAAGTCTAGTTTGAATTTGGCATGAAGCAAGAAGGAGTTTTCATATTAATTACTATGCTTTAAGTATTGTTTTTACAGTCAAATTCCTATTATAGCAAACTATTTTAAAATTACATTTCACTATACAATTGGAATTTAAATATTTTGTATTGATTTTAATAAAATGCTGGCATATTCAACATGCTTTCAAATTATACTTTCCGTACTTGAAAAACACGGAGCTTAAAGTTTCGTATCTTTATTACCATCTTAACAGGATTGCAGTAATTTGTATTGTGATTATTCTAATTGGAGTTAATAAATGCTTATGCTTTTAACCTCCTGGCTGACGGTGACAGAGGTCCTGCCTTTGCTAATGGCAGGGCTCGGCACTGTGTGTACTAAGAGGTTCAGCTCGCTGGTTTGCACGTGTTACCTAGTGATGCTCTCAGGCATGGGGAGAGGTGTGAGGAGGCTCATATCCATCATCTTACTTTTCTGGATCTCAAGGCTGCGGAACGTGATGAGCAGATCTGAGACCCAGAGCAGCTGGCGCGCTGCACAGTCATTACCCTTCTGAGCTGGCAGGTGAGTCTGAACAGGTGCCTGTCCGGGCCTGGAGTGTGCGAGGGTCCTGGGAGGTTTTCTGTCCCCTTTGAGCGCAGCAGTGTCCTGTTTGGGAACCAGTGCCCTATTGTGAGCAAGTTAAGAGGAGCAGAGTATTTCATCCAGAGTCTTATAAATATATACATCAAAAAGAAAAAAATCTGCAATGTTTCTCTTGAGGGCAAAACCTTAAATTTTATGTTAGATTCTTTCTAATAAGTTGTATTCAGTTTTAAATTTGGATAGCATTTTCCTTTATTTAAAAACACCTGCTAAATCTACTTGCTTGCTGCTTGGATTTATAGGGAACCACCCAGCCACAGTCCTTAAACAGAAATCAAGCCACACTCGGAGGGCCACTCCTACCAGTAAGCAACTTGCTGAGACTTCTCCAGCAGCACAGATGTAACAGCCCCACGCATTTTGCGACCTGCTTTTCCCTTCCCACCTTTCCCCTGGAGATATCCTTAATGTTTTGGGGGAAGATGAGTTTTTAAATAGACCTGTAAGTATATTATTTTAAAAGACCAATTTTTAAACATTTCATTATTTCTCAAGTGATGGTATATGGAAAATGCAAAAGAAAGCTTTTTTTAAAATAGCCTATAATAAAATTAATTTATATTAATTAATGGCAATAAGAAGAACTATTATAGTTTATACAGTTTTTTAAATTTCTGCATCCTGGACTATTACGATAATCTAGCAGTTGGCCTCCTCACTTCTCCCCCTTGTCCCCCCACTGCAGTTATTCTCCACACAGCAGTCAGAATATTTAAAGCATAAGTCAGATCATGTCACTCCTTTGCTTAAAACCCCCTAGTAGTTAGTATTCTTGCCATAAATATTGAACCTAAAAGTAATAATTAGGAGGCAATTAAACCCAAATTGTGGGATGTTCTGCAAAAAAAACAATAAAAACAACAAAAAAACAAAAAACTGGTCTATTGGACTCCTTAGATTGGGATTCAAACAATCCAAAATCCTTACTCATACAGGATCCAGACCCCTCAAGAGATCACTGTTAAAACTTCTTCCCCTTTGCTCTCTTCACTCCAATCTTAATGGCTTCCCTGTTTTTAAACTATGAAGACAAACACAATCCCATCTCAAGGCTTTTTAACAAGACAATAGCTTAGCATTATTAATAACTAGAGGAGAATGCAGATATGTCCGCTCCCTCCAAAAGGCTTACTATATCATAATGCATCAGTTTTCTGTTGCTACGAAACCAAACCCAGTTATTCAAAATACCTGCCATTTATTATTGCTCCTGTGTCTACAGGTCATCTGAGCAGTTCTGCTGTGCTGGGCAAGACTGAGCATCTCGGCCACGCATGCATCTGCAGTCAAACGGCCACGCTGGCTGCAGGCTGGCTGCTCCAGGATGGCCTCTTTCCCACGGCCCACGTCTGGTGACTAACTAGGTGTCAGCGGGACAACAGAGGCAACAGGTAACCAGCAGGCAAGCCAGGCAAGCATGGGCTTGTGCGCAAGAGAGAAGTATGAAAGACCGTTTAAGACCTGGTCTCAACATCATTTCCAACATACGCTATTGTCCAAAGAGAGGCACAGGTACAACTCACAACCTGCACTCACAAGGGAAACAGGAAAGTCGCCCTGCAAAGACGATGCTCACAGGGAAGGGCGGCGAACGGGGCCGTCTGAGATCAGTCCACTACATACCACGCCAAGAACACTAGCCATGCTGGTTCATCTGAGACTAGGAGACGGCAGAGGGAATGGAAAACACAAAGGAGGACAGAAACCATACTTCGTTATAAAGCCTATAAAGCATGGTTTCTCAACCTTGGCACTACTGAAATTCGGGGCCAGGTAAGCCTTTGTCAGAGAGGGCATCCCAGGATGTGAAGCAGCACCCCTGGCCTCTGCCCACTGGACGCCAGCAGTACGTCCTCAAGTTGTAATAACCAAAAATGTCTCCAGACGTTGCCAAATGTCCCCGAGAAACAAGAATCACTTATGGTTGAGAATCGCTGCTACAAAGGAATGAATTAAGGTAAAGACAACTCGGTCTTATACCTACCAATATAAATTAATTTTACTTTAAAAGGCCATTCAAATGATTCTAAAATGCAAGCTTTAATTATAGGTAGGCGAGATGTATACCAAATTCTTAACAGTTTACATATAAAAAATGCCCAAAGCTTCCCTGACAATACTTAGATTCCTGCTAATATAAATTACCATATTTCTGAAGTCAATATGAATGTAGATCGTTGTCAGAAGTTACACTGAACCAATAGCCCTGGCTCCAGGATTTGGTGTGGTGCATATGTAAAACCCGGATTGGTCTATTACTTATATTTTTATAACTAATAAATACCAAGAAATCGTGGTCTCTCCCAACCTGCAAATATAAAATGCTGTCTCAAAGCTACAGTTGATGTCCAATCCTCCTCTCTTCCCATTTCAAGACAGTGGTGATATACCTCCCACGGCCACCTCTCACCCTAACACCAATCACAAACGTGAAACACACCACAGAAAGCAGGAGGTGAATTACAGGATTAGAAAGCCTTAATAAAAGCAGCAGGAAGATAACAAATCAGAATATCCCCTGGGCACACTGGAAAACCTCGCAGTCACAGTCACGGTATATGTACTTATTGATCTAAACTGTTCTCACAACGCTTACGTTCCTAAAATTCTACGTATAAATCAAACAGCTTCAAATGCATAAACTAAGTATTTTCTAACTTACACTCACGTACAAATCTGTGATAGCACTGGCCAAGTGAAGCCTTACATACAAGAACCAACTTAAAGACCCGCTTTCTGGATTCTCTGGGCAAAAAATAATAGTTTCTCCTTCAGAGAAAAGAAGAGAAAATGGGGTAACTGGCTAACCCAATGGTACATCCATGAGCAGGGCTGGGCCCAGGCTAAGGGGGAGTGAAGGGCTGGGGGCACCAAATTTAAGGAAGGGCTCACTCTCTGGGAGGGCAGTGAGCCAACATAGGAGGCAAGCACCTGCTGTCCAGCAGGAACTGCACTTAACGTCAGGAAACTGCACTCTGACTTCCGCGTCCCCACCCAAGGGCTGTCCTGTACTAAGCCTTGGCCCTTACACCTTCCTCGTCATCTCTGTGACTCCTCCAAGAACCACAGGGCCTGCCTAACCGGCTAGTCTGATGCTACCCAACAAGGACCCAGGGAACCCAGCAGAAAGAGTCACCCACACATATACAACTGGAACACCTAAGCCTTGAAATTATGAAGGTTGGGAAAAGGGGCATTCCAGGAACTCCAAAACTCTGGCCTTTACAAAGTTGCCCTTATGTTTGAACATAGTTTCATGTGCACTCATGCTTTCGATGGAAATTTATCATTTTTGACATTTTTTCCAATCTTATGGCTGTTTAACTGAATCAATGTTATCACCCAGAAACGTTGTAAATCAACAGTATACCTTGCGGTTAGCAATGTTAGTTTTAATAAATCAGTTTCATACAAAAACTGACTACAGGCTAGGGTTTCCCCTTCACAAGGCAATACTATCCTTTCCCCGCTGAGACTCCTCTTTAAGAAGAGCCTTCAGCGCTCCTGAGCAACAGACACAGGAAGCCTGCAGGTTAGAACCAACAGCAGCAACAACCGTGGCACGTGGCACCTCACTGCATTCAAGGAGACGCTCCACCTGTCTGAGGCGTACACCCAGCACGCCGCCGCACCCAGAGTGTTTGTCGAGGTCCTGAGTGCAGTTCCTTCCTCCTGTGTGACTCACCCTTTCCCGCGCGATCACAGCAGCTCAGCAGCAGGGACGCAGTCAGACCGGGCAGTTAGGAAGGCTGCTGTCCTGTTTCCTCAACTGTGCACAGGAAAAGCTCTGATAACACAACTTAACCTACACGACCCTGCAACAGAGCCCCTTGCGGAGGCTAAATCACCTCAAGTGGCTTGAAGACAAGTAACAGCTGGCACAGGGCCTCTCACAGCTTTACTTTAAAGGCCAAACACGCACTACCCTAACCTACCCTTCCAACGGCCACATCTCGATCTCCCCACAGAATCTCTTTCCAAAAGTGTGCAGGCCTGTGTATTCCCCTCAACAACATAGGACAGCAAAAGCTGCTTCCTCAGCAAATCAGTGATGCGGGGAATGCCAGGGAACACAGAGGTTTTAGTTTATCACCTGCCGCTTCCAGCTACCAACAAGCTTTTCACGTGTAACACGTGCCAGCAAGAGTCCTTCAGGCCTGTGAATTTGCAAGTTCCCAGTAATAAATTCCCAAATGAAATTAAGTTCTTAGTTTTACATAAGTAAGTTTATTAAAAATTATATATTAATATAAGTTTATTTTAATTATAAAAAGTAACATCATAACAAAGAAATGGAAAATAAAAACTTCCTAACCTAGAACCATGAGCATCTTTGTATATCCCCTGCTGGTCTTTTTCCATATAAATTTTTATATGACTGTTATCAGGTTGTATTTGTATCTTTTAATTCTAATTTTTTCATTATAAGATTTCCATTTCTTCCATAGAATTTCTTCATATAGTTGCAAAACAGCCTTGCATTTTCTACTGCTGTATAAAAAATTGCTACTAACTTAGAGGTTTAAAAACAACACTTATTTATGAGTTCATGGTTCTATAAAAAGTCCAGGTGGGGTTGACTGGGTTTTTTGCTTAGAATCTCTCAAGGCCAAAATCAAGGTGCCAGCCAGGCTGGGTTCTCATCTGGGCAGAATCTGCTTCCAGGCTCATTCAGGTTATTGGCCAGATTCCGCTCCCTGTGGCTGTAGCACTGAGGTCCCTGTTTCTTTGGTGGCTCTCAGCCCTGAGCCTCTCTCTCAGCTCCTCACGACTTTTCATATTCCTTCTCACACGGTCAGTCCACCCTCAAGCCAGCAACAGCATGATAAGTCCCTCTCGTCCTTCAAATCTCTCTGCTGTGAGGCAGAGAAACATCTGGTTTTAAAGTCTCATGTGATTAGACTATGCCCACCTGGATAATCTCCCTTTCGTCTAGTTCAAAGTCCAATGATTACATCTTAAACCTTACATTATATCTGCAAAATCTCATTTGCCATGTAACATAATGATCATGGGCATATTAGCTCATCAAACTTGAAGCCCTGGGGGATTAGGGTGGGAAAGCAGGGAAGGCCGTTTTTAAAATTCTTCCTATCACATCTCTGTCACAACAGAAAATGTTATTTCTAACTGTAGATTATAGTTGAAAAACTTAAAGGTCATTTAGCCACTAGGCTAGAAAACGTTAAGGTCCTTTCCAATCCTAAAATGTTAAAAATAAAAAAACTAAACACATTAAAGAAATAAAAGGTAAGGTTATTTTAAAACAAAAAAAATTAGATGAATTTTAAAATTAATTAAATCAAAAGGGAGCTGAACTTTCTCCTAGTTGCAAAAAAAAAGACATGTAAGAAATGCTTTTTGCAAAATTGTCACCATGGGGGCCAATTTTCTAGTTTCACCAAAAAGATGAAGCATGTATGTGGAAATGAAGGTTAGTGCCAGAAGCAAAGAACTTTGAACCCAGTGACAATTTCTACTGAACAAAACTCCAGTTTGAATCTTGGTATAAGAATCAGAGGAGGTAGAGGCGCCAATGAGAACCTAGCTCATAGACAGGCCACTCCTCCCAAGGTCGTTGAGGAAAACCGAGGACACAAGCCTGGGGTCAGGCTGGCAGGGCCTTTTGGGAGGGGGTCAGCCAGCTGACTCTGCTGTAAGACAGTCCCCGTGCCCGCCACACAAATCCAGCCAAAGAGGAAAGAAAGAACTTCCACCTGTAAAATGGTGGACAGCAGTGCCCACCCGGTAGGGTCGTGGGGATTAAGCGAGCTTGCGCAGCACTCAGAACAACGCCCGGGACAGACGCGCTCAGTAGCTACTAGCCGTCAGCACTCGGATTTCTTATAAGTGGTTTCTTTTTAAGTAATTCACTAGCATTTATTCACTGATTTCTCCTAATGAGGCATTTGTATCTGCTCAAATCGTTTCAAGTTACTTACAATTTTAAGTACAAGTTTATTAGAATCAAATGATTAAAACCCACACACACACACACACACACACACATATAGCTTGACTGCGGCATTAATGCTGACTGAGTAACAAAGAGGCACTAAAACCTGGTGAACTGCATTGTAAGTGACTTGTGTCATTCTTCATCACCAGCTAGATTTTGTTTTCTGTGAGTATGTATGACTTTTATGGGGAAAAAGATATTTTAAGACAATGGGCAGCCATTTCTCCTCACTGGTTCAGTCATACATCTCTCTCTCGAGGGCACCTGCCAGTCTGACTGGATTATAAAAACACAGCTCATGAAATCCCATCCTTGGTCAGGAGTTTTGGTCACTCAACTTAATTGGTTCATATTTTACACTTCATTTTGGAAACTACAGACTATACTATTGGGAAATAAATTAGTCCACATCAGTAAGATTCAGGATTGCTGAAAACAAAAAAGTCCAACAGACAAAACTGGTTTTGTGACTACAGACAGGTGAGCTTATTCTAGTGGTTTTGTGCTGCATTTTTAAACTGGGAAGAGGTATCACTCTTTCTAACTGTATAAAAGCTACATAAAGCTTTTAATTGCTTTGACTTAGGAAAAGGCAGTATGCATATATTAGCCTTTCATCTGCTTATAATTTCAGGAAGTGCATGTCAACATCTATTTTCAGGCAAATTCTCTACAGAAATCAGTTTGACTTCTCTGGCACAGACAAGCGCACGCAGGTGGGAACTTTCAGCGATCCGCCACATCCCTTACGTGGGGACAGACAGGCGTCTGCACGGTCTCCAGCAGGGCAGTAAAGGCTTCCACATGACGGGTGAGGCAGAGAGCACATGTCGGGGTCTAGATTCCTTCACTAAGGGTACAGCCATAAGCTACCAGGGCTGAGGAGAACAAAATTTTGCTGGCCATTCACTCATTCTAGACGGGAGTGGGTTAAGAGGGAGGATGAACTTAAGTCATCAACAAGGTAACTTCTGAAGATGAAACTTTACCAACTCTGGTCAGAGATCTCTCTAAACAACAGTTTAAACTTGTCAAGGAATTCAAAATTTTAATTCAAGTTAAAAAAAAAAAAAAAAGGAAAACCTTCCTTTGACTGTCTCTCCCAAGCAGCCACCCTCTAACTCCTTCCTTCCTCTGCGCCATCCCAGCTCCAACACGAAAGCCTGTCTCCCCACCGGCAGCCCCCACAGCGGGCCATCTGCGTCCACTGCTCCGCACCCTGGGCTTGCTGCTCTCCCGCCTGCGGGGCTGGCCGCCCGTCTGCCTGGCCCAGGTTCTAGCTTCCCCCTCCTGCCTTTCCCTGACCCCACACTACACATCCCACAGCAACATACACACACCTACGGTATGGCTCTTACTATCCTGCGGTACTGCTATTTTATGTATAGCTCTTTCAAAACTCTTGAAGGCTATGACTGGATCTTTCTTAGCATCGAAATTTTAGGATATACATAAAATACAATAGTATCACAAAAGTAAATACAGTAGTGTCACGACCCAACCAATGACAACAATTACTCACAACCAGTATTATGTCAAGTCTACCCTCCACGCGTTCCTCCCATCCACCTCGATTATTCCGGAGCAACCCCAGACTTCACATCACTTCGTCTAGAAATAGCATACTTTAAAACGTTTCTCTGAAAGACAGAGCCGCTTTATAAACTTAACCCCATTACAACCATTGTCACATCTAAGTCCTTTAAAATAATAATTCCATCATATCAACATGTATCCAGTTGGTATTTACATCTCCTCAAGTGTCTCATAAACTTTTATTTTTTACAATTATTTAATCAGTGAAGTCTACCATTATGATTAGATAATATGTGTCCTAAATTTCTTTTATTCTCTAGACTTCTCGTCCACTTTTTTCCTCTTCTTATAATGTATTTTTGAAGAAACTAGGCCGTTTGTTCTGAAATTTCCCATAATTAGAATTTTGCTCATTGCATCCCCACATTCCTCTGTCCCCTGTATTTTCTGTAAAATGCTGGTTAGACCTAAAAGCCTATCATACTCAGGTTTGGTTTTTTGGTGACTGTTAATTAGTAGCAATGAATATTTCCAGCAGGAAGTACATTATGTCTGACTGCCCTTCCTTTTGAGACATTGGTAGCCACTGATAAATCACTGTCTGGATTTTATAGCCATTAATTCATGAGGAGCTGTAAAATTGTGACACACTTATTCAATCATCCCTTCTCCACACATTAGCTGGGGTAAAACACCTTTTATAAAAAAGAAACTTTCCCTTGTTGAGCACTTGCTTACCCTGAGAAAACCACACTGTTTCATTCTTTCTCCTTATTTTCTGGATCTTAAAAGAATACATCAGTTCCCTAGCATCCAACAAAAGAGACACATTTCTTTTTTTCTTGGTAATCATTATTATGAATTCATGGATTTGGAGATTTCAGTCCACTGACACTTCATTCTTACTGATGATCAAACTGTCCCCATCACTGGTCCCGTGGAAGCCTCTTCAAGTTGGTTCCCTCCTGAGTCCTAATCCTTGGTAACTTCCTTGCCTTCTAGTGGGACAAAGGATGCCATACTCATCCTGCAAATTTTCTGCTCCCAACTTGGAATTCTCCATTTCTTCAAAGAGGACCTAATTATTAATTCAGTCTTCAGCCTAACTTACGTGTTTCATAAATGTTTCCCAAACTAAATAAGGCAACTGCCTTATTATTTTTAAACTAATGATTTTAAATTTGAAAAATGTGTATGATGCACAGTAAATAAATGCACAATCATCACTCTGCTCTTATTAAAACAAGTAATTAAAATACTTAACTACTCATCACTCAAGTTCTTGGACTCGTCATCTACCAAAATACACACCAAAGCATCTCAACACTCCTGCTTTGCTATTATGATAAAATTCAGCAGTTAAAATCAGCATGATAACCTGAGCAAAACTGCTGCTGGGTTGAAATCCAAAAGTATAAAAAGAAGGCTTCTTTAATGTGATATTCCTTCAAGAACCACAAGAAATACAACACAGGGATAACCCTAGGAAACTGTCTGAATAAAGCTTTAATTAAGGTATGCATGTTTAATTAAAGGTTGGCATCTTTAATGAAAATGAGTGAACAGTGCTCAATTAAGTACCATGAGTTTACGCTAAACATAACAATTTGTGATTATTTATGTTACTCCCAAATCATCAATATAATAATAGCATTAACATCTTTTCAAACATACCCATATCCCTGAGTGGAAAACACAAATACCTTATTCTCAAAATCATAGCTAAAACATAATCATATTTAATCCTTTATGCTTTGTAAACATCTCAAACTTCTGCTCTTGGTGGGAACCAAAAGAGGTTTTTTGAAAATTTTTTTCTGTTGCTATATTTGTAACTCTAAATTCTTTTAGAAATACCAATATTTTTTCAGGGTACTGAGACATTAAGAAGATGCTTTAGAACATATCTGGATGCTGATTTATAAAATTTATCGCCCTATTTTAAAAGCAGCCTAAAGAAAGGGCAGCAAAAATAATCACTGCAGACGCTTCAAGGTCAGAGGTGACCAGCACAGGTATAACTCACAGTGAGACCCTCTTCCAGAAGGTCTTCCAGAACATCTGCTTGCAGCACTGGTTTGCAATAGCTCTGGCATTACAGTCCCTTAATTTTAATTACTACTCAAATTTCCTAATCTGAACTACATAAATAATGGAACAAGCCTATTCTCATTGTACATATAATTGTACACATAATTACACATATAATTAACTAGATCTGAAATAACATTCACAATCATTTAATTATCCATTTCAGAAATCTGAAGCTCCAGTTTAGTAACTAAAAATAAATGTAACAACAAAAATTGTCTTATCTGATGATTAAAAGATGCAGTTATCTCCAGATTTCACTAATAAAGTCCTCTCACATGTATTTCATGCACAATTTATAATTGTGAACAATATTTATATGTGTGTAAACACACCTCCGTTTAGTGAACTCTAAACCCACCGACATATTTACAACCAGGGTATTATTCAGAATATTTGAAATGCTTTTTTTCCTCCATATAATCTACATATAATTATAATTTAATGTGTTAAGTTAATATACTATATTTCACATACTATATCATAAGATATTTACATACTTCAGTCCATTTCTAATGTGTCTCCAGATAAATAAGTTTAAATAAATACATGAGCAAAACTATTTATGAAGTACGCACTTTTAAATTGTTTCTTCAAATCCAAGAAGTGCAAAATGGGATCATTCCCGTGATGATTAAATGAATGATTTAAGATTCAATTTCTGTATCCACGGGGCGGCGGAGGGGAGTGAGGGAGAAAAAAGAAAGCAAGACGTATACCTCTGAACGTCCACCAAAATAACTTCTAACAGATCACAGGGTTAAATGTGAAAAATGAAGCAAACAAAAAACTGAAGAAAATATGAGACTTTTTCCTTTTTTGCTTAATATTGCAGAGTGGAAAGGCCAAGACATAACATAAACCTAAGAAGTCACAAAATAAAAGGTTGATAAATTCAATTGCGTAAAAACCACTTTCTGTATAGCAAAAGCCACCATAAACAAAGTCGTAAGACAAACAACCAACTAAGAAAAACATTCATATTTAAAAGGCTAAGTTCCCTGATAAAAAGTACATGCAAATTTGTAGGAAGGAAATTAACAACTCAATAGAAAAATGGAAAGGGCAAACTGTTCACGGAAAAGAACACGTACAGACTTAAGACTTAAGACTTAAGATGCTCAACTTCATGCACAACCAAAGAAATACAAATTCAGACGATCCTCAGATACCACATTTATCTGTCAGGCTGGCAAAAACTGAACATCTGGACAGACTTCAAATAAAAGCATGGGAAAAAATAATTTCTCACACACGGAATACAAGATGCACAGAAGGAAATTTAACAAGCTTCGTAATTATAAATGCACATATCCTTTAACCCAGCAATTCCACTTTCAGGAATTGATCCTGTAAGTGTACACGCACATATACACACACACACACATACTTGAAATGTATACAGGCTTATTCATCATAGCACTGTATATTATAGCAAAAGATTTGAATGGGATGTTCTGAAAGGGCCTAGGATATTAGTTTAAAAAAATATATGGAACATCGAGCACCAAGTGCTACCATTTCTATGAAGGGTAAACATTTATATTAATATTTGCCTGTATATGCTAAACTCTCTCTGGAGGGATATGCAAGCAATTGGTGACACCAGTGGCCTCTGAGGAATTGGGGGAGCAGGGTCACTGATGGACAGATGGGAGAGGGACTTTTTGCTGTAAATATTTCTGTTCCTTTTAAATATTAAGCCATGTGCTATATTATCTGCTCAAAAGCAAATAAATAAAATTTTAAATATTTTTGAAGAAAATAAAACAGATGCTCAATCATAATAATGCGTACACACGTGACCAAATCTAACATTAGGGATTATGGTTTACAGAGTGAAAAGCAGAAGGAATCTGTTTCTCCTGTGCATTTTTTATACTCTATCAATGCTAGACTTGGCTTTATGAGTCACCAGACTTATTTATTTTCATTTAAATATTTTACAAAAATTATTTGAATAATTAACTAAAACTGAGAGATGCTCACTCTTTTTAAGTGGGCAGGTTCTTTTTTTTTTAATGGATTTTTCTTTATTTTTATGTCGTTATTTTAAGAAAAATAACAGAATTCTCAGTGTAGCAATTGCTAAAGATTTAACCTCAGAGAGATGCACCTCATCTTCCAAATGTACAAAATGCAAATTGGCATGCTGATAATACCAGTCACAACTAAATACTCTGCATTTCTAGAAGAGAAAACAGGATAAAATTAGTGTCTAAACCTCCAAGTGGATGTGAATCCTTAGTGCAAACCAAATGGGGTAAAACATAGCGAATAAACCTAGCAAAGTGTGTCTTTAAAGCTGAAAAGACAACCTGCACTACAAAGAAGTTGAATCTTTAACGACATTGACCTCTGGTAACACTAAATGACGTTTCTTACCATCATCTTAAAAAATAATGAGGAAGTAATCGCTTCTTCTATGGGCTAATAAAACAATTTAATGCTTTCAAATCATCAAATATGCCACCTGAAGCCATCCCCCCCATTTTTTTAAATTGGGACTTGAACAGCCTAGTTTCGCCACAATTTCCTTTAAATCCAAGTAAAAATCATTCTATAAGCAGTCAGGTAGAGAGAAAGGCATAATTCTGAATTCACTCAAAAGCCAAAGCAGATGAATTAGTATTCTCATAAAAAGCACCACACAGTCATTTCGGTAAAACCCGTGTAAAATCACTGAAGTCCGTTTTAACTGCTCCAAGCGGGCAACCTGGCAGTTTGTGCATTACATCCCCTCTACGTTTCTGACTCTTCAAGACTTTTCAAATAACGTTTATTCTAAGAATACAGAACGTTGATGATAAGGCCATCCTTCTAACTTGCCAAATTACCTAATCCCAACATCTGCAGTCACACTTTCTCAGATTTCTGTTCTCCTGACAGTCAAGAGAGGCCCTGAGGACTCCGAGCGCACTAAGGCTGGGCTGCATGGGGCTGCCCCGCAGGTGAGACTGCCCGGCCGCACAGGACAGCCACCTCCCCGATGTCACCACCACTCCCGGGTCACCAGCTTCCCAGTGTCACCACCACTCCCAGATCAGTAGCCTCCCACTGTCACCACCACTCCCAGGTCACCAGCTTCCCAGTGTCACCACCACTCCCAGGTCAGCAGCTTCCCAGTGTCACCACCACTCCCAGGTCAGCAGCTTCCCAGTGTCACCACCTTCCCACTGTCACCACCACTCCCAGGTCAGTAGCTTCCCACTGTCACCACCACTCCCGGGTCAGCAGCTTCCCAGTGTCACCTCCACTCCCGGGTCAGTAGCTTCCCACTGTCACCACCACTCCCGGGTCAGCAGCTTCCCAGTGTCACCTCCACTCCCGGGTCGCCACCTTCCCAGCGTCACCACCTTCCCAGTGTCACCTCCACTCCCGGGTCAGTAGCTTCCCACTGTCACCACCACTCCCGGGTCAGCAGCTTCCCAGTGTCACCTACACTCCCGGGTCGCCACCTTCCCAGCGTCACCACGTCTCTGAGGCACTGTCTTTACAACGACACCCCAGTCCCTCTGCCTCCCCTGAAGTCGCTTTCCCAGTGACACCGACAGCGGCCA